AGAAATTAAACAGAAGTTTTAACTGTTTGTGAAATGTTTTGATAAAAAATACATAGTTTACCACTTGGCGTAGCGCTCTTCGCAATATTTTGAAGTATTGCTGTTGATTAACGTTTGTTTTAATCACATAAACTCTTATTTGCAGTTAATTCAAAAGTAATATATTAACGGTAATGCCGTATTTATTATTATTATTTATACGCATATACAAATGAATATTTTTTGTATTGCTTTAAAAAAGTTTTCGACATATTGAAATTTTTAACATAACTTATTTTATTTGAATTTTTTTCGTATTGTATTTTCCATTTTAATTTATAATTCAGTCCAATCTGCATAATTTATTTATTTTTTATTATGTAAAATGCTTTTTATAACGAGTTTTAATTAAGTAAAGCATTAAATGTAGAGTATGACTTACGAATATTTAGAACAAAAGTAAATACTTTTAAAAATGATATGAACTTAATTTGAATGTTATATAAAACTATGTATTTCTAAGTCTTTTACTATTTAACAGTATTTAAGTATGTCTGTTACATATTTTATTTTGCATTTGGTTTTAGTTTTTCATATATTTTTATGATTTTCATTTCTTTTACAAATATTTTAGGTTATGTTAACGTTTTTTTTAATTTATTTACATTGTTTTTATTTGTGTTACATTTTTTAGTTTATTTATCTTCAATTTGTTGTTTTCATATTAGTTCTCAATATATTTTAATTTTATATAATCTTTTAGCTAATATCTGTTATTTACATATAATGAGCGTGTCTAATTTGCAGACATAAAGCCTATTCTAGTGACTGTAAAATAGGTGAGTTACGTTATTGGGTCAACCCGCGTTTTTCTGCCATCGCCTTGTTAGCTGATCGTGTTTTAACAAACGCAATTAATAAGAGATGATGCATGTTTGTAATAAGATGTATGGTCATACACGGAAAAGGAACCAAAATTAAATCAGTTCGTTGGATTGCTCGGATGTTATGCAGAGATTGGGGTTAGTTTTGGCGGTTTTTGATTACTTCATTTACAAAGGTAACAAAACTTACCTAGGTATTAAAATTTACCATTCAGTAAATTTTGCTACCATTTCGTATTCTGAGCTCACTGTTACCCCGTAAATTTTTTTACCAACGAAATATGAGGTAACAAACATATCTGCTGTTTGATTTTGTGTTATGAGTTTGAGAAGAAATAAAAAACCAAAATGGGTAGGCATATTTTTGGTCTGGAATTCATTGAAAATGAGGAAAAAATTGCAAAAAGCTGTATTTTAAGAAGTTTTCGAGATTAAAATATAGCCCTTTAATTTGTAAGATAACGTTTTCATTCAGCTTTCTTTGTTGTCCAGGCATTTTTTCCATAATTAGGTTCAAATATTTATGATTTAATAAAAAAATTAATAAAACTTTTTAATTTTTTTGTGCACCCTCTTCCATTTCGATGTGAATTTTTTCCTTTTTACTCTATCAACTGGCAATTTGACATCGACGAAAAAAACAGTGCTGCCAAATTTTTTTCGAACATTGTAACCAGTTCGCCAGAATCCCAAATTCAATTTCGGGTGTTAAAGAAAAGTAACAAAATTTACTTTACCGGTAACAGTGAGAATAGGCCTGTAATAACTTGTATATTTTTCAGTCTTGAAGTATTATCGATTAAGTCTCGAAAAGATTAGATACTTTTAGATCAATGAATGGCAAAAGCAATTGAATTATTAGTAAATAGAATATAAGGTGAAAGATCTTAGAATTTCCATACAAAAAATAGAACAAATGGGACATATGTATATGCAGAGTACCCTAATTAACGCAATGTTATCCTTAATTCCTCTTTCTAAGTAGCGATGTTTCCCAAAGGACTTGCTTTCAGTATGTCGGGACAACCTTGAACCTGCAATATATTTATATTGTTCTCAACGAGGCCGTTATGCTCTTCGAACTCGGTTTCAAATAGTTTAAAAAATAATGAATTGGAACTGTATACAAGTAAATTATAGAAAGACGTCTAATGACTGACCAAGCTTATAAAACTTAGTAGGTGATTAAACCTAATCCTAGTAAATAGAGAACTATCTTTTTGCTTTCTCTTTAAAAATGAAATGATAGACAAGAATGTTATTTATTTTCTCAGTCGTTTCATCTAAGTTTTCTACATTCCAGAGAAAGCTATAAAAATTAGTTCAAATCATGCACACATGAAATAAATTTAGTCACTCTTAAGGTGCAATCATGTAACGGTATCAGCTATTTTAAGTGGCTCATACCTGAAGGTAAACCGAAGTGCATTGAGTTTCAGCATAAATATAATAGAAAGTTTTTACTTAAAGCTTTAAATATTATTTTTTTATTAACATAATAAGATTCAGTTCTTGGAAAAGCATTGTTTTTGTTTTCTTATTTTGATTTATTTTTAAACATCATACTCTTTCAACATTTATAATTTTTATATTGTTTGGCATTTAAGTATAAAGTTTTTAAGCTTTAATACACAATATCATAATATTGACTTGCACATTACTATTTACAAATACTCAGGTTATTTTTACTATCATTAATACCTTAGAAAAATACAATAATTCAGAATAAATCAATTGTTAAATAAAGGTTAGGACATATATATGGATAGCTGTGTAAACAATTATGTTTATATATATTTTGATATGCTTGTATGTCTGTAGACTTTAATCCCTTAACGACTTAAGTGTGTAAATTATGCGCTTTTAACTCGTATTTTGATGGGATTTATATTGTCGGACAATATTAAATTATTGATTGGAATCATATGTGTAATTAAAAAAATAAGCTGGTATTGTGAAGAAGTTGCTTGAAATATTATATACACGAGTATACAATATATATACGTTAATTCAAACGAACTGGAATATAATGCTTATAAATAATTTTTTCATTAAGCCTTTTTATGTTTATAAATTTTTAACTTTAAACTCTATGTCACTACATCAGTCAAATTACCCCTCGCGGATTTTTGCAAATTTCAAAGTAACTGTCCACCACTTTTCGATTCATTTTTAGGGTTATCCGAGCCATAACTTGACACAAGTTGGTTTTAAAGGGGCCATAAAAGATCACTCGGTCAAAACAAGGCCATATTCGTTTTTATTGAGTGCATGTGACACCATTTTGTTAAACTCACATATTCTCCAAGTTATTTTCTTAATTTGCGGTCCAAAAACGTTGGTTACCATATGACCACAACGCTCTAAATTAACAATGTCAGTCTCGCCGTAGTCGTTTCCAAAGCGAAAGGTCCGATCACAACTCCTGACCAAAGAGCGCTTTCTTTTGGGTACAAAGGCCTCTTTTCAATTATTTGAGAACTATCGGAGCTCCACCCCGACAATTTTTTTATTTTTTTATCTGCTTGTTAGTCAATCACCCAAACGACTAATGCATGGCATTGCGAATGGTAAGCTGACTTCAGTTTTTTGTGCGAGTTTGAATCCAAGTACGAGATACACTATAATTTACCGTAAGAAAGTCTCCGCTCTTGAGAACGTTGAGAACTGTGCATATTCGGGCCTTCGCCGTTGGATGACTATGTAGACAATAATCTCCTCTTAAAGCACGGAATCAATATTTTTGTAGTAGGTTCTTACAATTCTAATGAATTATGGGGTTGTTTAGCGATTTCTTTGCATGTATTCATGACTTTTAACTAAATCAATATATATTCGATTTGACTGTTAACTATGAATATCCCACTGAACTCAAATCTTCGTTAAGTATTCCGTTACAACCGAACGAATGTGTGGTGGTGCAAAATCTATGGTTTGCATTGAACGAATGAACTTCAAAAACCATCAGCGTTGTGAAAGTATTAGGCTAGTAAAATTCTTTTTAGTGCTTGTGAAAGCGAAACAAACGAAAGTATGCTATTATTATAAATAATATTCAAAGATTTTGTTGGTTCCTTTCGAAACTGAGCAATTAGAAAATTTTATGATTATTTAAAAAAAATTTTATGTTTACGAAATTTGGCAAACTCTGTAAATTAAATTGACAATTTCTCAGAGACAAAAAATGATAACAATTCAAAATGACTGCTGAAGGGTAGAAGTGGTATTTTCAGGAAGAATAACTATCTCTAGAAAAGTCATGATCTCATTTTTCACAAAAAAACGCATTTTTGGTTGGAATATCTCAAATAAATTACATGCTGGAACTGTTTTTATCCCAGATACGGATTCAATTCATCAAAAACCTTCGGAGAAGTATAGCCCTATTTCTGGTTACAAAATTTAATCAAATTTGGAATATTTCCGAACACCAGGAATCTATTCAGTTGGAACCGTACGACGCCCATGACTTCCGGTATGCAAATTACAGCAAAAATTTAATAATCGAGCTGAGGAAGGTTTAATGGTATTGACTTCTAGTCAAACACCACCGTATGGCCCATCGATTGACCGTCATAATAAAAAAATAGGATGATAGAAAGAACATACCCCAATATCGTTCATGGATACAATGAAAACGAACATGTATGCTACACTGCCGGCGCATAACATTCCAAGGACAGATAAATTAGGACATTTACCAGAGTATATCTAGGAAGGTAAGCCCAGTTGCAAGAACCCGAAATGTTCATTTAGCACAAAAATCCAAATGTTGAATACTTAGTTTGGCCCAGTGTTACTAATGAGCAAAATCTAAGAAAAACCTTTGTTAAGAACCGCAAAATTTATATAATATTTTTTTTTTTTTCGATGCAAAAAATCAGTTACTAAGGGTTAAATTTGACGGATGTCAAAATACAAAAAAAAAAATAAAAAAGAATATTATTATAAATAAATTCGTAGGTATATTTAAATATGAATGCTTTATTATTTATGTTTTTTTATGTTTGAAAATATTTCCTAATGATTTTTTTTAACTAAGTTTTATTATATTGAATAATCACTCACATTTGAATGTGAGGAAAAAAGTAAATAAATAAAAGTATTATTAAATAAAGTGGTGTATAAATCATAACATAAATTACTTTAAAAATTCATTCTTAAGATTTTAAATAAAATAACTCTTTAGTATAATCGCTTTCCTATGCTTATTTATCTGGAGCCCCTACCTCAAAAACTTTCTTTTATTTTACTTTGACCGGTTTTATTTTTATTTCTTTTTTTTACTATTTACCAGCAACAAAGAATTCATGCTGTGCTGTTGGTATTGCGCTCACAAGCGTCAATATAGTTGTATTTGGAGATTTTTTTCCTGTGGCACTTTTTGTTGCTTTCGGTTGAATTGTTATTAACGTTGCTGCGCGTAATGTTGGGCCCCTCCACTGCTTGAAGTGCTGACCTCTCCTCACGCTTAACTATAATATGCGTCTGATGTTGTCGTTGTTGTTGTTGCCAACGCTGTACAGTTATTCTGTTAATTAATTGTGAATTCGTCGTTTCATTTCGCGATCAAAATTTTGTTTGCTCGACTGCAACTGCCGGCCATGAACGGCACAAAGTGTTCGCTGCAGTTAATGTTGCTTTTATTTTTGCTGCTTCAGCTGCTTTTGTTGTCGTTACAACTGCTTCAACAACACTTATCCCACTAGTTGTTAATAGTTGCCCTTTGGCCCTCTGCAGGACGTTTTCATCTTCATTTTTTGTTTCGGTTGTTTGCTGCATTGTTCTCGTTGTTGCCTTTGACGCCACTCTTTCACGCCAAACAAACAATTGTTCGCATAATTGGTGAAAATATCGTAAAGTATACCAAGCCGTCAGCGTTAGTATTGTCCAACGTATCAGCAACAATGACAGGCAATGACAGTGCTGTTGTGCTGCACTATTGGCATTCAAAGATGAGACAGCTCCTGAAAAGAGTTTATATAAAAATATATGTATATGTGAATACTTAATGATGAACATGTATGTTAAAATGCGTATAATTGTTTGCATCACAATGGAGTGAAATTTAATTGGTATTCCAGTGAAGTGTGCAACAAGAGAATTGTGAGGTATTGTTCGTACCAACTTGAAACAAACGTGACAAAGTACAGCAATTTCATTCAATTTAATAGACAAGTGCTCAGATTTATGGCCTCTAGCTTTACCTTCGAGCTTCTTAATTGTAGTCAGATGGCCAAAAATTTTCTAGTACACACATTTTTAATACAACTTCCACCTTATAATTCTTTACTAAACTTCTTTATTTTATAGTTAGGAATTTTCTGCGAATAAAATCTAATGAACTAAGTTTCTGCCTATGGGTCTAAAAAAAATATAATGTTTTATGAAAGGATTTTTCGAATGTTATGCTTTTTTTGTTGTTTCCTATTAATATAAAATTACAATAGACCAGTGGCTAGCATAGCGTACAGCCATTCTGAAAAACAGCGTTTGAGCCTTGGTTTGTCCAACATCCTAAATTATATTCGGCCGAGAAGATTGAGCATGAAGAGCGAAAGATACTAGTCGCTAAAGGCAGTGCTCGATATTTTCTATGAAAATAATAAGATAATCAAGCAAAGTGACGCTCAGAGTATATTGAATTTATGGAGCAAATACTTCTCCAGCCGGCTAGATGGCAGTAAAAGCGTAACACCATGATAAGATGCATACATCAGCGTATATGCAAAGTATGGTCGGATGAAAGCATCCTCAAAAATTGAACCTAAAAGTGCTATGCCCATTCCTAAAAAAAAGCGATCCCTCTGCGCAAATATCCGTGGGATACGCCTTACTAACAACGCCCGTAAAGTCAGAAAATCAGTCATAGACCAGATAATAGCCGCCTAAGCAGGTGGGGGCGGGTGTAAAAATTGGACTCCAATCGCTTAATCAGCAAGGGAGCATCGATGGGAAGATGGAAGCAGATCAGATAACAAGGGATCTGATCTGGTAAATTCCATTGCAAACAGTCGCTGATCATTTGAGAGTTGCATTCTTGCATATGTGTACGAATGCAGAACATTCATATATGACATACATGACATATGTACACAATAATGCAAAAACTCAATTAACAGGAAGCAATTAGCCAACGTCTAAAGTTAAGCAGACACTTACGCTTCTCGCGTAAACAAAAGCCATGTGACAGATCTTAATAGACCCATATAAGAAGGATCGACGCACTCCACCTCGTAGCCTTCGACAGCACGAAAAGGAATTTTCAGACAAAGTGATTTCTTATCGTGTGACTTCTTTAATTTAATGCTAAAGAAAATAATACGAGAGGTAAATAGAAAATACACTTTTTTTTAAGAGTGCACAGATGCTGGCGTACGCTAATAATATAGGCAATATTGGCTTCCACAATTGCGCCGTGGGGTATATATAATATATATAATTGGCGCTTTTGTAACGGCTGAAGCGATATTCGGCCGAGCTTTTCCTCCAATTTGTGGTTTTGCGTCCTGATGTTTTTCCAACAAATGGAAGGACCTACAGTTTATACCGCCTCCGAACGGCTGATGGGTTTTTTATGATGATTTGGTTCTGGTAGTGAAGGAGGGAAAAACTATTTATATACTATCGTCAAGTAAACCGTCGTCGTATTTGACAGTTATAAATTTGAAGTCGTAGATAGTTTCGTCTGTCATGGAACCAGTATTAAGGCCAACAACAATTTCACCTTGGAAGTTTAAAAATATAGTTCTCTCATGACAAATCAACACCAAATTTCAAAGAAATAGTAAAAGTCGTTCATCGTTCCCGCCCTTATATATGTTATGGTGGCAGTGGACTTGGTATTTCCAATTTTGACACCAAACAGCGAAAAGAAGAAAATTATGGCGTAATATCGTTAACTTGGCTTTAATCCCATTAATTTTTCATGACTAAATGAGGTCTCATTATGCTAAAGAGCTTATGTCGAATATATTTGATGCGTAAATCCTATAGTTTCATATCTTTATGCATCTTGGTAAATATGATACAAAAATCTCTCTTCTGTAAGCGGACATACATTTGAACTGACTGCCTTCCCTACTTTGTACTCGCTTCAGATCTCTTTATTCAGTGATTATTGCTCTGCAGTCTTTTCAAACCCAAGATATACTCGTGCATATGTATGTACTTGTGTACTTACTGTTTTAATGTAAGATGTTGTACCAATTACTGAATTTTATGATTTTCGCTTTCATTCGTATAAGTACTAACAGCCAGAGCTTTACAAATGTAGAACTGCTCTTATATATTATAAAGGAATTTTTATAATTAATTTTTTCTGGTATATGCTCCATATGGTTCTTCAGATATGGGCATACTCTTAGATTTAAAAAAAAATATGAATGTACACATGTTTATGATTAGTTACAATTTTTTTTATATTTTCATGCAATGGGAGTTTCTAGGAAAATATCACATATTTCCTATAAAAAAACTTGCATGGCATCCGAATATTTTCTATGGTAAACTTTGCGAAATTTTTTAATAAAAAAGTATTTTTCATTGAAAAATTAATAAAAATTAACGTGGAATTTCGTTTACTTTCTAGTATATCTTACCGATACACTTCTTTTATATTATGGTTTTTATTTTAATAAGGAGCAGAAGGTAAACACCCTGCAATATTTAAATCGTCTATGCGTCTGTGTGTCTTTCGGTCTGTTCGAATGCAATCTACTTCCATACTTTTCGAAACTTTTGCTTAAAATTTGATAACATATATAATATACATATTATATGACCGATTATTGAATTTGTAATGATAATACGTCAAAAAATATGGAAGAGCGTTAGACTTGATATTCTTAGTAGACATTAATATAAATATTGAAAACTATCGGAATCAGAAGAATATGTTTTTTATCATATATGCTATATTGTGATAAAATCGTCAAAAACACATAAGGAATTTTTTGACCATCTATCTTCTATTACCTTCTACATCGGTATGACCCGAGAGCAAAGTGATATTTACTGTGTTTTCTGTCATAGTGTGATAATTGCCTCTTTGAATATCCTTACGAATTTGAACTTTGTGCTTACACACTTAAAACTGATAGATCTTTGCTCAAAATCTTTTCTTGACAGATAGTTTGAAGAAGTTTGTTATTCGATGGTCGCTGAAGAGCCCAGCTCCTGTGTCTACCTCGCATTAGACCCTTTAGTATAGTTTTGGATATCTTGATTGTTTTTTAGGAGCTCACCCTCTGCTAATTTTTCCCGCATTTACCCGACAGAGAGTATACCTTTTTCGGTCAGATTTTAATTTTAGTTAGGATATATTCTTTAAATGTTACAATTTTTGGACTGGACCAAATTTTTCAGAACATTTAGGTCACTAACAGTAAGCGCTGCTTCATACAAAGCAGAGGGAATAAAAACAGGCAATTTTGAAGACTGAAAAAATAAATAAACCTTCTCCAATATGTAAACAGAATAAGGAAACTTTTAAATTTAAATATAAATAAATTTATTAATGAAAAAAACACATGTACATATTTAAAGAGGTTTTCAAAACTTATTCTCACCTGATGTTGCTGCTGCTGCGGTTTCACAAAAAGAGGGGTTTAAAATGGCAAAATCGGCCTTTTATGCCTTCCACAGAAGGTGGAAGATCTAACGTACATACATTTTTGTACAGCCACTTAGTAAACAATTTTCAAACACAACAAAGATAACTCAAAGTTTCTCAACTCTTAACGAACAAATCTCAGGAAATCGGTATTCGATTTTATTCACAGAGACTTCCCAAGCGTACGAATTCGTAAAAAATCGAGTTTGAAAAACGATGCAAAAATTAATACTTATTTTGATTGTGCTCACCCTTTATGTGAGTCATATAAGTATCAGACCGATCGGTCAGCTGGTCATTGTCCATTTCAAAGTAATCTTCAGAGAAATTATTGAGGGAGTTTGTACTATCTCTATGATGTTCCTCTTTTATTGACTTTTCGGTTGATTTCAAATAAACGTCGTGTATGTGGGCAGTGCAGCGTATCTGAAACGATTGAAAGTAGACAAAAATCAATCTTTTTAAATTCGCCCGCAGGAGCTAGAATAGTTTGGCACCGAGAAATCATCTAAGTAATATATATATCTAAAAAACGTATTATAGTGAATGATAATTGACTATTACCGAATAATGTTTATAATGTTAATAATAATAATTATAATTATACGTGTATATTATAAATTAATAAGAAATAAATAAGGACTTATTGACGTTATCAAAGATAATTTATGATTAATGACTATGGACTAATGACTTACGGCCAATGAGTGACTAATATCCGGAAAGAATTTTTTTATCTCTTATTTTGTACACTCAGCTAATAAAAAGTATTACCTTGACATAATTTAAGAAATCCCTTTCAAAAATAATTTTCTCTGGTAAACTATTATTTGAAGTTTTTGTTTATCACTTAATTGCTTAATTAACGGCGCTTATTCGCAGTTAGGCACACTCATTCATGGCTGCTGTGACTTGAATGACTTTTGCAATGTTTGCTACTGCCATTATTATGTAATTAGGCGGGTATTTAAAGTTCACTAAGTGTAAGCAAATGTACCGCTATACACATTACTAATATAATAAATGTTCTATCTTTTGCTCCCTAACTGATCGAGCTAGTACCGCGTTGCTGGCTATTTACTTGGTTTACCTTTAACTTTCCCCCAATGAAGTGCTGCGGCGTAGCCACAAAATGGATTCCCGAAACAACTGTTTCCAATTCTCGTTGTTCCCGCATTGGCTTGTGGTGTCGTATGTGTGAGGGATTGCTCTGTAAGTAAAAAAAAGTGAAGAGTATATATCTGGTGAATTAAAAAGTTTGACTATATTTATGACGTTTATAGAAAATAATGTTACGCCAAAATCAAAATCATACATTGTTAAAACGGAAACGGTCGAACTTTGTGGGTTGAAAATTATTTTAAATTTAGATAACTTAATTCTTAAAATTGCAGACGTCAATCACAACCGCACAAAAGATCTGGGATGCGAATATGGATATACAGGTAGTCTAGAATATGCTCGCGACTTCATCCGCATAGAATGAAGCATTGAAAAAGCTACCAATGCATCTCGAAAAAGTTTGGCGCGGTTTATGGGCTGGTGGCATTATTGGACCGTAGTTCTTCAAAGATGATACGAATCGTATCGAAACTGTGAATAATGAGTGCTACCGTGAGATGATATCAAACTTTTATTTGCACAAAATGCAAAAGCTTGACTTGCATGACATGCGGTTTTATTTCACGTTCGGGACCGATCAATTCGCTTCCTAGATCGCGCGATTCAACGCCTATAGATTATTTTTTGAGGGTAAATGTTAAATTTAATATCTGTGGCGCAGTCACGTTCAACATTTGCCTGAAATAATCTACAAACATTAAATTATATGGACCGTACTATCGATTCAAATAGATTTCAATCATTTTTTTTTTTAACTATATGTGTGTTTCTTTCTGAAAAACTTTCATATAGCTCTTAATATTCATGAGGCTTCTGCTCCGAGTGGCTCTTCTGAATTTTGACAGCTACTCTATTTGTCCCGAAGTTGCTCTGCTCTACTCTGCTTTCAGTCTCAATAAACAAACATATTAAGTAATAGAAAAATGCTATTATTATTGCTGAAAAAGGTCTACACATTTTACAGAACTTTTACAGTTTTGAAATGATAGAACCAAATAAAAACTTTGTGTACACTACAAAAATATAGATTTATGACAATTTTTTATTACAACAGTAATAACAAAAGCACCTGCACCAGGTGTTACATATTTTTTTGTTTCTACTTGAAAACATTGTCGTTTTGGTCTTGATTTAGTTTATCCCAAAAACTTTTACCTGGAATAATATTTTCTGTTATTAAAAAAAAAACAAGTAAAAATTTTTAGCCACGGCTGAATACTTTTTGAGCTCACTCGAACCAATAATTGCTAACACAGAAAAACTTTATAATAAAAATATGCATATATAAAAATAATATTATAAATAAACCGCACACCAATGCGACAGTTAAACTGAATTATTGGCTGGACATGCCTATGTGTTCTGTGCATTGCCACTGGAGGTGTGCCGAGGGAAATATAGCGAATGTATTCAATGCACTTTTAAGTTTGGCTTGCTCGTGTATGTGTGCATGTGTGCTTGCCTGCAGTCTGGATGGAAGAAGTTACCAAGCCGTAGGTAAACACTGTTTATAAGTTTACTTATGTTGTTACAAAATTTGGCCATTGAAATAAGAGTAGTCAGCTATGTACGCATTGAAAATGGAGCGAATTCCAGATGGGCTGTACAGCTGTGTATATCCAATGGGATTTTTCGGATGTTTTTAGTGGCAAACAAATATAAATTTTGACTGCTAGTTATAAAAATTAATTTTCCTACCGAAAAAGCCAGATGAAGCATGATTTATAAAATGCAAAGGAGGCAAAGGCTATTTAAAGGGTTTAATAAATATATTACATCGGAGCACTTACTTAGCTGCACAATAATAATAAATATATTCTGAAACTATTAAAAAATAACAGAGTAAATATACTTCAAATAGCTTCACTACACAAGATTGCTGACTTTATAATAATTCTAAATATGCTTATACCAAATATAGTCCAAAATTGGTGAATAAAGTTAAATGTTGCGGTATTTACAGCGTGGCCCTCTTATATTTTTATACTTTTGCTTAAACAAAATTTTTAATAATTATAAGCAAATCTGAATTTCAATTTACACACATTTCGTCTTAAAGAAGCGAACAATTCATATCTCTCAAACGAAAATTCATTCAAGTTCTAATTGCTTCGAATATATATGATTTATAAGTAGGGCATATCACCCACTCCGAGTGTATTTCTAGAATGAAATAAAAGATCGTCTTAAAAGCCATCAGCCGCTTGGAGGCGACTTAGTATAAACTGTTGGGTTTTCTTTTGGAAAAACCTCAATGCGCCTACTTCTGATGTGTGGCGGTAAGTTCTTGCAGAAAGATTTTTCAGCCAAAGGTGACTGTTGACTAAAACGAACTGTAATGTGTCCTTGCTCGAGTATGTGATCATGGATACTTGTATACTTTCGGGTATGTGAGACATATGTTAAAATTGTTGTGATCAGTTTGCTGCGGTCTCACTTCGTGTTATATGCTATGACCGTCTGAAGTATAGGCGGCTCGTGTAAATTTCTGCTATTCTTATGGTTGTGGTGGTTGTTATTATCTTTTTGTTAGAACTGCTGCTGAAGAAGAATATTTTTTTAAAAATCAAATATTGGTTTTAGTCATTTTTGAACTTTGCACGTAATTATAAGTTTTACACTCAAGTACTAATGCAAATAAATAGCAGAAATGAGTGATCAAATAAAGTTTAATTAAATAAAGAGATTGATTTCATGAACACGAAATGGTATATTAACTCTGGTTCGATACTAGAATATGCAAACTTTGAAAACAGATAGATGACATAACGATCTCCGAACCTAGAGCGCACAACAGTACGCGAGATCGATGTATGGAAGCTGCCGAAGTAGCAGAGGATTTAATATATGGCCTCGGAATAAACGACTCAGTGTAAGTTGAAAAAACAATTTAATCCTGTACAAAACGATTTTGAAACTTCAAACTCATTTTTCTCAAAACTGTGTTTTTTTTAGGTCGATGGCCAAGATATCTTGGGAATGGCTGAACCGATTAGTATCAATTCCAATTACCAATGAAAAGTTTTTTTAATGCGCAATTCAAAACCAAAATTATTATTTACTTCAGAAATACAATGGTCACCAAAAAATGCCATTTTCGTGAGGAGTCCCTGGAGATCTCCTTTAGCAACTTCAAACATTTTTAATTTTATAAATAAAAAATGGCTAACTACTCTTCATAATATCTGAAGAAATGCTCAAAATAATAAAGTTTAAAGTTTTATCTTAAAAAATGTTTGAAAATTTCAACCTAGCTAGTTGTAACCCCTTAATTCTTCAATAAAGCATCTAGAAGCGTGGCAATGAAAAAATTTTATATTCCGCATACATTTAATAAACAACACATTGATTCTGAAGTTCATCGCAAATCGCACAAATACACCGATTTGTTTGGAAGCTAGGCTTTGCTCAAAACCTTCCTCAAGAATGCATCTAAGGTACTACTATAGTATCTATCAAAAATCATCAAAATCGGAAGGTTATATTATATATTCTCCATACAAACGATTTTTTCAGATATGAAGTTTTGAGTAAGAAACCCGACAAAAAAAACATCAAAAGTAAAAATCAAAGAATTCGGTAAACATATTTTCCTCCAAGTCAAATTTATAGTATGTGAATTGTCAAATTATACGATTGCCTGTTTTTCCTTTAATTTCAACAAATTACATAGACAAAATACATGAGACATCAAAATATACTGAAAGTTTTTCGTTTTTGACTTTTCGGAACTTTAATTACCCAAGCAAAATAACTGGGCTTTTTATGGAGGAGAAGAAATATTTGCAGAATGTGCATCAAGATTTACTTTTTATCTATAACATACGGCACTAAATGTTTTTCCATTAAGCTAGCTTATAGAATTCAATGACTTTAAGCCCGCAGAAGTAACAATTTTCGTAAAAAATTTAGTGATTATGCTGAATTATTCCTGATAACTGTTGTAAGGACCTTACCTCACAAGGTCATGAAGTCGTCAATGATCCAGACTTTGAACGATGGGAAAACATTAAAATCATACTAAAGAAACTTAAGAGGGCCAACAAGTGTGACACTTCCAAACATTCGAGTTCTTGTGACAATCTACGTTAGCTTATAGCATCGAAAAAAAAAAACATACTTCGATTCCAGCTGCGTTACTGAAATATACGAAGTAATCCTAAAACGCGTTACAGTAAGTTTTTTTCAAACACGTATTTTTCGATTTTTTTTTTTGTAATTATAACTCAAAAACTAATTATTCGTTCCACTTGAAATTTTTTTGTCGTATTCAGCATCATTTTTGGCATAAAGTGACCCTCGGATATTTCGATCGGTAAATTGTAAATTTCGCATGGAAAATACCATACCATCACGTTTTTGGTCTTCTTTTATTTCAGGTACCCGGAAGGTAGATATGAAATGCAGACTTCTATTTTCAGATCTCATTTTTTTCCTTAATCGCGGGTCGCTTTATACCCTGTAGGGAGAAATACCAGCTGCATAAGTAGAATTCAATTAGATTAAATTTATACTCCAACCAGTTCATCCTTCACTGGTATTTTTAACGCGATAAAATCCTACGAACTGCCAATTGCCAGTCTATGCAACAGCTTCTTATTAATTACATACCAGTTCATAAGTACCAGTTAAAATACTGGTTTGTTCATGTCAGTTGACAACTAGTTCGCATTAGAACAGTCTGTTGATTTATTTATTTAAAGCTTAAATAGGACTGCTCACTACTTTTTACAATTGAACAAAATATAAAGAAACACAATAATGCAGTGTGGAAATTGTTGTTGTTGTAGCGGGAAGTCTAGTAATGTATGACCGGAACTTCTAGTTACACATAAGTTCTGTTTTTTTCTTTTTAAAACGGAAAAGTGATATAAATTTGTACGCAAAATACAAGTTCATACACCAGAATTTTAGCAACTAGCCCAGATTGTACCGAAAAATACTAATTTACGAAGTGTGACAATTAAGTTATAAGACTGATTCCATGAAAACCGTGTATTTCAAAATTATTATACAACTCTGCCATTCCATTCGAAGTAGTCCCCTTGAACAGCTAACTAACGATTCCAGCGGTTTTTCCATGCTTCCTCAATCGACTCAAAATGTTGTAATCGTTGCAACTTGGCGATACCTTTAGAGACCAAACACTGGGACACGCTTTCGAGTACTTGGCGATAGTATACTTGATTTACGGTGCTCCGGTGGAAGAAATTCTTCGAGGACAATTTCACAGCTATCAAAGAAGACAATAATCAGCGTTTGCACCTTCGACTTGCTCATGCAAGCTTTTTCGGACGCGGGCGTACAGAGACAACCCTTGTGGGCTTTGACGTTTGATATCCGGGTCGTATTGAAAAAACCAGCTCTCAATGCCTGTAATAACGAAGCCATTTTGCCCAATTTGGCGCAAAATTTTATAGCGACGCGTTGCTTTTGATTTCGTTTTTCTATTTACATGACGAGCACCACGAACACATGTTTACTCCACACTACACAGCAGGCGAACTCAACAAGCTAGAGCAATGGCAAATATATCAATACAGAGGTGAAGAATGCCGAGAGAAAGGAAAGGTAATTTCATGGTCGCAGAGTAACCTCAATCGCGGCAATATAATCAGTCTCATTACTTTATTGTCACACCTCGTAGTTCTAATCTATAACAAACTACAACGGAGAAGTTTCCTTTAAAAAAAGTTTCCAAAAATCCAATTTTTTGCTGTCAAAAAGCTCAAAAGATATTAGAACGTTACTGATTTACAAACCGAATCTTAAAGGAAAATTTTTCTTCCTCTGTTTCCTTAATTTCAATTTCAGGAAATATTATTAATGCAAATGATGAGAAAAAAATTCAAATGACTAACTTCGGCATAAATTGCATTCTATTATTTAGACGTTTGACATAACGGACAGCTGTCACTGATTTTACATATAAAAGATATAGATTTTGTAGTTAATCTTATTTTTTAGGGTTATTCACCTCTCGTCCATTTATCGTCCATGTTAGATTTGCTGCCGGTTTGGAATGCAGCGATGTACAATTACCACGTACTATGTCTCCAACGTGATATCGTGGTTTTATACCGGTTATGACAGGATCTTTTCCCGGTACTTCTGAAACAATAGGAACTGGGTTAAATGTATACGAAGATATATATCAGTAAGAAAATTTATTGTAACTTTTATTTTTCCCTTTCAAAAAGTTCGCACCCTACTTTTATATTTATTGACTTATTAGTGATCGAAAAAATTTTTTAAAGTTGCACAAATAAAAAAATAATGGCTGTCTAAAAGTTGAAAACTTAGTTTCTTTTTCACCGTGTAATTCAGTAGCGTTGAAAACAAGTCAAATGTTAAAGCGTAATCGCTTATCGTTTTTATAGGAGAGCTGGCAAAGTGAATAGTAAATAGCAGAAAAATAACCAAACCAAAAAATTGGATAAGGAATGGGCAGGTAGGCTAACAGGAAGGGGATGCTTATATAGGAGATTAAATGAAAGAAAATTTGAATGTGGTAGAGTAGCCAATGGAAAATCCGCAACGAAATCATTAATAAAGATATCACTTAAAATGCGACCACCGAAAACTTGCAGTCAACCAGAGCAAATTCTGGCGATTTTCATTAATAATAACGCATATTGAATGCTGCTATCTACACAGATCTTTAACCTTATAATCGTATTGTATATATTCTAGTACCTAGCAGTAAAAGGAAAGACTTTTGAGGTCAAGAGGTTTACTGAAAACACTTTTTTTGAAATCTATACTCATCGCTGACGGTTAACACGACAATGTCAGACCAAATTAGAGCTTCCCTCCTTCCTTTTCAAATACCACTTCGAAAAGGGCTTAAAAAACTTTTATTTTAACTGTTGCCGATCCACTCTACATCACGCAGATGAAACTTCTGTCCAGAGGGTTTTTCATGTAGCATCCATACCCCGAACTTGTGTGTGTATCCAACCTTTTTCAATCTGTGCAATCTTTACTTCCTGAATAATCAAACCAGTGCTCGCATGATAGTCAGAATTGACGATTTCGCTTATATTATAGACATTTTCGAAAATTCATTTTTCACACCGTTGAGAATCTTTTAAATTCAAATTACTGGAAAAATCAACGACACGGAAATTGTGAATTATTGTCCCTTACAGCATCAGGTTCACAAACGCTATTCACATCTTCAACCGCCTGACTGGCGATCTCGCCTTCATTGAAGTAAAATTATAGAATATAGCGTTTTTTCTCTTATTTTGGTGTCCATCTTTGACATGCGCTGAAACAGAACATTGTACCTTTTTTGTGCAAAATATCATCTTTCTGCTATCTAGTGCAACCTTGTCGCACTTATATGATGCACAATATTTAGATCACCACAGCCATTTATTGCAAAAATAATTTATTACTTTTTTATAAATATATTGCGTCTTCATCTGGCAGCAGTCACTTCCATTCTTTTAGTGTCTTAATAAACGTTTCTACAATTTCAGTATATTTATAATATTTTTAGTCTCTTTTTTTAAGTATAAACTCGAACGCATAAAACGGACGAACCCGCTAGCAACTTCGTAATCATATTTTTATTACTTTTGCTGTTTTGTTTGCTTTTTACTGGTGCAACAAAAGTGCAAAAGTTTCAACAAAATGCAATAAATTTTAACTATAAGGTAACTCTTGTAAAGTCAGATTGTTGATATAGATATGGTATATCATAAGATGAATAGTTAGTATTTCCAGTGCTGGCACGTGAAAAGTTTAATAATTAAATGAGTAATGCCGTGTAATGTTTTGCTTTCATTTACTATCTGATCTTTATTTGTTTTCGGTTCCTTTAGTTTATGTTGCATTAGTAAATCTTTTTTTACTTATTTAAATATTTTTTTTTATCGATTTTGTAGAATACGACGAACTTAGGTTGGGTAAGTTTATGAGGCATAATATGATTACCTACCGCATTTTGAATGAGCAGCCACAACATATTTGTGAAATAATAAGAATTTTCAAATCAATTCAATTACTCAATGAGAAAGTACATTATTTCCTATTCAAATCAAAGAATAAGATAAAATTAGTGGTCTCTTCTTTTATGCTTATATTTTTTATTGACATTAGGCTATTGGTAATTAATTTTTTACCGACACATTGTCGGAGATCTTGTCTTTAGGTAACACTATATTAGTTTCCGCCGTATGCCTCTCAATATTTGAAAACACAAACAATAGAAGTTTGTATATTTCGGTAACAAAAAAAATTCGGACCTAAAGCAAGCGTAATTTTCATGATGATATTTTATTTCATTACATCCGTATACTGAATCGAAAGCGTTCTTAGACCATAAGCCTTAATAATTATGATCTCCACGTCGTATGATCAACATTTAGTCAACAGGTGAAAAATTCGACGGAGTCAAATGCTTGATAAAGCTTGATTGCTATTGGTGTAGGGCTACCGAATGATCTTGATAGGCTAATGTATTTGTTTGCTTACACATTTTGCGACGTTACGAAATCAAGAAGACGACGAATAGTTAAGTCATAAGTGCAAAGAGATTCAGATATAAAAAGCAGTTCCGTGTCCCTCTGAAAAACACTTATTTTGTATATTTATTCTAAAATTATTCATACTATAGAGCTGGAGAAAATAATATGAAATGCAGAGCTGAATAGAGAAGGTACAATATTCTAAAAGCGTGACCAGCATTAACACCAACAACAATATTAGCCTTGAAATCCAACGCAAAATCACTCTGGCAACAGGTGCTACTTTGGGAGAAGTAGGCAATTGAAAAGGAAATTCCTCTCTCGGCGCACAAAAAACCGAACTTTACAAATCGATTATCAAACCCGTCCTACTATGTGGCGCAGAAGCGTGGCCGATGTCAGTATCTGATGGGAAGAAGTTAACAGTCGTCAAGTACAGTAACATGCTCTTGACAGCGCTGAGGGCACATTAATGCAGAGCTTAGTGAACATACATATATACTGGCAGCTACTATAATTTCGACGAAATGCATTTGTATAAAAAATTAAATAAAAAGTAGATGTACGTTTTTTTGCATTGCTTGTAGAATTACCTGAAATTCAAAAATAAAATTAGTTTTAGCAATGTCTTTGACAGGTTTACCGTCCAAAAGGCAACAACAGCGCATTGAGATTGAATATTTTTACGCGGTTTCTTAATCAAAAACACTTATGAAAGCAACAGGTTACTTTAAGGAGGTCGTAACCGGGTATGGCAATAATTTTTAAGAAGACACAGTCATTGGACAGTGTAAACTTTTGATCAAACGTAAAACTGAAATACAAATCACAATAAAAAAAACTGATGAGATATTCTCTACAATTATTTTTTAGTAATTTAAACTGGTTGAACCCACTTTGAAAAAAAAGTAAAAAATCTTAAAACAAATTGTTGTCAAACCCGCGACCGGAGAGTGTCCACAACTTGTGCACTTCCCCTACTTCTCTTAGTTTTCGCTTATTTAATGACCAATAAGTTTTTGATATTCTCAAATATTTTCCAATTTTGGTTGATGTGCAATCATTTTTATGTCCGAGTTTTTTGTCTACTCATCGCCTTCATTTCTTTCTTATTTATTTACGTTTTTCTCTCCGCTGTTGGTTTGGTTTTTATGTTAACTTATTTGCGGTTATTTATTGCTTGATGCCTTGCCATACGAGTTTACTTCCGTATGCATATATATTTTTAACATGTGAACGTAAGTATGTGTAATGTGTGTCTGAAACCACTAACCACTGCTATTTTTCTAAATATTTTCGTCTGCATATCTACACACTGGTCTAACTTGCTACTTTCTAAATGCTTTCTGCTACTTTTTTCTTCCAAATAATTTTGCGTACAACTTTTTTGTGTGGATTTGTCAGTTTTTGTACAATTTGGCTTTTACCGTCTCAAACGATAAGTTTTAAGTGAATTTTACCTTGAAAAAATTATGAAGCGATAGCTCGATCGCCACTGAGAATGGATATTTTTAGTTATGCATGCTTCTATAAAGATGTTTAAGTATATGAGCAAGCAAAGCTACGCTCTAGAAAATTTGGTGAGGAATTACTTTGAAGAGGTAATGTATATAGATCAACTAATAAAGAGCAAAAATAAAGGAAAACTCTTATAGGAAATGAAAGAGTTAAAAGAGAACAATTCGTTCATATTTTGTTGATGTAGAAATCGCAAAATTATTTTATTTGTTGAACATTCTGATTTCGATACACGATCCAAGGAAACTAAATGTAACTATTCAAAAAGTGGTATAATCCTTCCCCTAAAGTTTCTATGAAAAAATTAAATATGTTCTATATTTTTGGTCCCTGGTTTTAATATTGAATCAAACAGGAAAGAAAAGAGCTGCCTTTATACTTTTCATATTAATTTATATATCAATTTTATAGTACGTATTTCATTTTATGACGCAATATTATTTGAAACTTCACGAATTATATTTTTGAGGATTTGAATCGACGTGAGCTTGTTAGCGTAGATCTAATCTTTAACCCGGCCCAAAGGAACGAGGTGTTAAATCACAAGCTCTCGGTGGCAAAGAGCGATCACCAGTCCGAGGACACCTTCTCTTTAAAAGAGCGATGATTTTGTTGCTAGCGGGGTAAGTGGGGCCGTTTTGTTGAAAGCTAATGTTATCCAGATCAGTATCATTCATTCCGACCATACAAAATCATTAATTATCCCCCAATCGCGCAATCTATTAATTTTGGAAAATGTAAGGTCGTCGGACAAAAAACCGCCCCAAATAGTTACACACTTAAATCGGAGAGGATTTTTAACAATAGGTGTTTGAACTCTGCTCGTCATTTTGATTCAAGCGGAATACATTTTGATGGAAAAAAGTTAATATACCATATCATCTTGTTGGCGAATTCTTATCGACACTTACCAATTACTTCCAATTCACCGGCAGAGATTTCTGTGTGAAAAGATGGCGCATCAGCTGACACTTCGCAACTGTACTTGCCAGTGGTGGAGACCGAAACCGAGTCCAGAACCAATTGGCTCTCATTCGATGCTGAACGCTGAAACGAGAGAATGCAAATGAGAAAGAATATTAGTTAATGAAGTGATTACTGAGATTAAAAAGTACCGTTATAAAGTGGCTGCTATAAATTTCCATAATCGCATGAATAGAGAAAGTATACCAGTTCAAAAAGTAGAATAAAAGAAAACACCTTTGTTTGAGTATGCAACCCTGCACCAAAGCCAGAATCTACCACAGGAGATGTCGCTGCTGCTAGTACAATACGTGACTCATCCCTATTGGGAAGGGTCCTGTTAATCAACGATCCGTTACACCTTCCACCTTCTGTGAAAGGCATAAAAGGCCGATGTTGCCGTCCAAAACTCCTCTTTTTTTGCGGGACCTCAGCAGCAGCAACATCAGGTAAGAATAAGTTGTGATAAATCCCTCTTCACATGTACAGCTGCCCTTTTATTCAAAATAAATCTGTATCGAACATAAACTAAAGATTTTCCTTCTTACTCTTTATTTGTTGGAGAAGGTTTTTATTTCTTTTTCAGCTTGAGGATTGCCTGAAGATTCGGCCCTGTCTTACGATCCCCGTCTCCAGAATTCAGGAGGAATTCTGGCCCATCCATCCCGGCACGAATATTGGTCCTTCGAGCCGGATTCCAGAAGGCGATCCTAATATTTCGTGGTTTTTTTAGGTTTTTTTATTTCCCTTTTTTTAATTATTAAATTTTTTTTCTCTTCTATTTTATTATATTTTTTCCCAAAATCAGTCTTATTTTGGCGACTGAATTAGTTTTCGATACAAAAAAAAGAGGGAGAATTATATGGAAAGGCATCACTGCGTGCTATTGTGGAAGTTAAAAGTTGAGTTCCACTGCTTCCAATAAGCACCAACTGTTGGTCCTGGATGTAAACAATAAAATAAAAATAAACGCAAAAAAAGGAACATATATAAGTGAAAAGTGCAGTGAAATAATAAGTGAAAAGTGCAGTGAAATAAAAAAGTGAAGAGTGCAGAAAATTGGAGCGTCGGCAAGAAAATTGCCACGAAAAAAGGCGCCCAGCTGCATAAAAGTGAAACTGCACAACAGTGAAAGTGCATATAAGTGAAAGGTGCAGTGAAANTAATTTATGTATGTAAATTGTTTGCTTTTGATGCGCTGTCGAGTTCGTTCAACTCGAGAACCACTGCCAAAGTTACTGTATAGTAAGTAGCTAATTAGGGCAATGAACTTGAAACGGCTACCAAAGTAAAAAATTGAAGGTTTCAACTTTGGTTTGCCTGCAATAGAGAAATTGCAAAGTGCCGTAAAAACTGCAACTAGATGTATATATGTATATAGCTAATAATGTACGGAAATGTACTTAGTATGCATACATATATATTGTATTAAAAATACCGATTTTATTTACGGTAGTTAAATAAATGTATTAGCGGCAAGATGAACCGCTTTCCGATCGAATTAGCGGATTAAATTTCAAATTTAATGTTTTTGGCGGGAATGAAAATCCGTGTTACAAAAAACAAACCTATTTGCAGTTTTCAAAGGGGGGAAGGCTAAGATAGTATATGTTTGAGTATGCAACCCTGCACCAAAGCCAGAATCTACCGCAAGGAGATTTCGCTGCTGCTAGTACAATACGTGACTTATCCCTATTTGGAAGGGTCCTGTTAATCAACGTTCCGTTACACCTTCCACCTTCTGTGGAAGGCATAAAAGGCCGATGTTGCCGTCCAAAATTCCTCTTTTTTTGCGGGACCTCAGCAGCAGCAACATCAGGTAAGAATAAGTTTTAAATAACCCCTCTTCACATGTACAGCTGCCCTTTTATTCAAAATAAACCTGTGTCTAACATAAACTAAAGATTTTCTTTCTTATTCTTTATTTGTTGGAGAAGGTTTTTATTTCTTTTTCAGCTTGAGGATTGCCTGAAGATTCGGCCCTGTCTTACGATCCCCGTCTCCAGAATTCAGGAGGAATTCTGGCCCATCCATCCCGGCAGGAATATTGGTCCTTCGAGCCGGATCCCAGAAGGCGATCCTAATATTTCGTGGTTTCTTTGGGTTTTTTTTTTTATTTCCCTTTTTTTAATTATTAAATTTTTTTTTCTTCTATTTTGTTATATTTTTCCCCAACATCAGTCATATTTTGGCGACTGAATTAGTTTTGGAAACAAAAAAAAAAGAGGGAGAATTATATGGAAAGGCATCACTGCGTGCTATTGTGGAAGTTAAAAGTTGAGTTCCACTGCTTCCAATAAGCACCAACTGTTGGTCCTGGATGTAAAAAATAAAATAAAAATAAACGCAAAAAAACGAACATATATAAGTGAAAGGTGCAGTGAAAGCAAAAGTGAAGAGTGCAGAAAATTGGCTCTAACAAGCCCAACGTGTAAGCTACAAGGCTCTACCAAGCCCACCGTGTAAGCTACAAGGCTCTACAAAACCCCCCCACTGTGGGAAGGAAATCCACTTAAACAACGGCATCGCTTTACCCAGAACGCAAAACATTCGATCAACAAAAACCAAAAAAAGCAAGTAAGCAGCATTTAAGGGTAAGTCCTCTTGCACATCTGGTTACTGTTAACAAATTGGAATTGAGATAACACAACACAACATTTATCGGTTATACTTACGTTGATGATACATTACTCCGGAAGTTCCACGGTTCGCTAATGTAATAACGTGTAAACTGATACTTTAGTTTAGTTTAGATTCACATTAAGCAACAACGATCGGCAGAAGTCAGATTCTGGTTGAATTAATCTTTAGGATTATCGAATAAAAGTTTAAAAGCGATTTTTAAAAATCTGTATTTCGAAATGACAAGTTTATACGATTTTTCGCGTGCGTGTGATGCATTGCTGGAGTTCGAACGAACTCAAGGCATTATGGCTGAAGGTAAAATAATCGTTCGATACATATTCTCGAAGTTTATCTGAGGACGAATCGGGCGCCGCAGCCATGCGTTCAGCAAAATGTAGGTATCAGAATTGCTACGCAGCATATCTGACGTGCGCGGCGTTGATGGAAGAGACCATTCATAATCTCACATTCGTGCAACAGACCTCGTCGACAGTAAATCCCATATCCAGGGAAGTTGAACAGACTCCGCGACTTAATATTAATCTACCCCCATGCGATACTGAAATTTTTTATGGCGACTACATGGCATGGCCATCTTTTCGCGACTTATTCACCGCAATCTATATAAACAATTCGCGACTAAGTCCAGTAGAGAAATTGTTTCATTTGAATCAAAAGACGCGTGGCGAAGCAAAAGACATAGTTAAAACATCGCCTTTAACTAATGAGAGCTTTCTTGCCGCGTGGCAAAATTTGTCGGAGAGGTACGAAAACAAACGCGTCATGGTTAATAGCCAGTTGAAAGCGCTGTTTAACTTACCATCAGTGAGTGTCGAACGCAGCGCTGAGATCAAAAATTTACAACGATCGGTAAATAACTGTATCTCAGTTCTGCGCATGTATGGAATAGACATCGAGAACTGGGACGCTATATTTGTTTTCCTGGTATCAAGTAGACTGCCTGATACCACACTAGCGTTATGGGAACAAGGGATTCTTCAGAAAACGGAAATTCCGAGGTGGGAGGAACTGGATCAGTTTCTGACCGGTAGATTTCAGACACTGGAAACAGTATCTGACATACAAAGTTCCAGATCTTCGAGGCCGTTGCCCAGCAAAACCACTATACCACAGCCTAACAGAAGGATTGCTGCCCATCTTGGTCAATTTTCACAGACTGTTTGCAGATTGTGTTCCGATCAAGTTCACGTTTTAAAGAGTTGTCCGAAATTTTTGACCATGAACGTGGATGATAGGGTAAAGGTCGTGAGAAAACATAATTTATGCATGAATTGCCTAGCACACTCCCATATAGCAAGGGACTGCAAAAGTCCATTTAACTGTCTAAGTTGCCACCAAAGGCATCACTCCTTGTTACATCGCTTCCCTACCGGAAACAAAAGTTCGACACCGCCATCGCGGCCTTCTCCAGGGAATAGGGAAAATCAATTTTCCCATCCTCCAACTGATGGCACCAACGTGCAAGCGCTATTTTCCACAAGTGCCAAAAATGTCATTTTAGGAACAGCGATAATTAACGTATGTCATCAAGGAATGGACTTCCCAGCCAGAGCGCTTCTGGATTCCGGATCTGAAGCTACGTTTATCACAGAACGGTTACAGAGACGCATCGGTATTCAAACACGGCCTGTTGATACGCTAGTGAGCG